GCTGCACAGGCTGTTGGACACCTTTGCAGGGACTGACACAAAGGTAATTGCTGGGCTAAATGGCAGATGAGCCTGTGTCTGTCCTGGAGCACATGCAAGTTCAGTCCTACTGCTGCTCTCACCCAGCCAGCTGTGGTGAGCTCTGCTCTGCTCCACAGCCCCTGTAGCTGCACTTCCCTGACACTGTACATGAACAAAAAAACCATGCTTATTGAAACCTCTCTATGAGAGAATGTTTTAGGCATGTTTGTCCTGTAATTAGCACTTGTGAATACATATTGGGAGAAGATAAAGTAGGTCTGATACCCATGTGTTGAAGAAAGCTTGCTTGTCTGCTGGGGAAGAGGAAGAACCGTGCTGGCAGTATTGAGTTCCTTCCACCCTGTAAACCTCTACAGGGTTGGCAGAAATAGGAGGCAGAGAGAAATTAATTTTTTTAAATTCTTCCTGACGTAGTCTATATGTGTTCTCTTATGCTCTGCCTCTCCTCTTCCTTTGTCTTGCTAACTTTTTCCCTTGTTGCAAAATGTTTTCATTTGGGGAACAGTGAGGTAACACAGCACAGACTAGCTAATGGCAATTACCTGCAGATGTGTCATATATTTCTAATTTGTGACTTTTCCATGGTCTGTAGGGGTTGCTCAAAGTAGAATTGAATGCTCAGAACATTTCCTCCATCTGTAAATATGTAGTGAACCTGCACTATGTCACATTTCCCAGGACTGTGTTGTTGTGAAGGAAAGACCTGCTTAAAATGCTCTTGATGCAGCCAGGGCAGCCCTTGTTTCCAAATGGCAGCCGTATTTAACTTTTTTTGGATACAGCAAATACCTATTGAGCCATTCATTTTGCTTTTTTTTGTAAATTTTGTGTCACAGCAGTCTGGATTTAGTGTTGCTGTGATCTCACATTGTAATGTAACGGCAATAAAATGATTCCCATACCAGTCCACAGAGAGTCTGTGCTAATGCCATTAAAATGTGCTTACCGAATCAAAACAAATGCGGCATTAGCATGTGGAAGCTGTGTTTATGCGATTATAATGTTTCAGCAATATGAGATTACTGTAGGAAGCAACTAATCCAAACCCAAGGAGACTTCCCATTACAAGACCATTAAAATGACACAATGACTGAAGCGCAAGTTTCAGATGGGAGAAGCGGAAGCACAAATCTTGTCATCAGTATTCAGGCAAAACATCTACTGAACTCAGTGGAGTTTTTACCAGACTCAGGAATGCAGTACCATGACCTTTTTAGCAGCAAGTCTCTTTTCTCTTAACAATACCTCTAGGAAAAATGTTTGCTTCACCAGTATTTAGTAATTGATGGTGACAGTTGTATTTTATGTACCGTACAATTGGTGGTTGTAAAGATTTGTCCAGAGTTTGTCACAAGAATGTTCAGGTACTGTGTCAAGGCTGTTGAGAAAAAGTTCAAGTTTTGGTTATATCTTAAAGCAGTTCTCATTTTGTTTTTGTCTGAATATGTAATTTTCAGGAAATATTTATTTCTCTTTATAGAGCAGCTGGAGCAGAGAAGCCTTGGTCTATGCAGGAGGACCTTGGTGATACCACCACATAAATTAGTGATTTTCAACACCAAAATATCTATTATTTCCATATATGAGCCTACCTGTTTATCTTCTATCATAGGAATCAGCACCTTTCCCTCTCACCTCAGACTGGATTTAGATTGAGGAAATATAGTTCACATGTCCTATGTAGGACCATCTAAAATATACTTGTCTTGTCCAGGATTGTTTCTTGGCTCCCTCCTTAGTCCATGGAAGGAGGATAGCATTACAGAAAGTAACTTGTCCTGTCCTATTACAAACACTCAAAATAGCCTGGATGAGTTGCCTGCGAATATGACTTTCTATCTCCACTGTGAAAATGGTCTAGATGATTGTTCTGTAAAAGACATACATCAATTTAGATGGCTAAATGAGGTGATATGAATTCAGTCCTTGGTGTATGAAAGAAGAAACTTTTTCAGAAGAAAGTTCTGTGGAAAACATGGCATGCAAGTTGTTAGTAAAGCACAGGAATGTTGATTTTTGTAGTACCATGTACATACTTAAACTAAACAGCAATCCTTACTCATTTTAAAAGCTATTTACGCCTAAAATCTGTTTTAAAAACACTCAATTAAATTCTGATTCCACTAAGTGAATCTTATTAGGAATAATATATCATTATTGCATAATCAGGGTAGACTGTCTATGTAAATGACAGTAGGGAAGATATCAAGACAGTGGTTTTAAAAATTATTCCAGTCACAGGTTGTTGACTGTCTTTATTTTTTATAATTCTTTTATTAAAAGCAGTGGGTTTCTAAAACTGTGTTAGTAAGCAGGCACAGGCATTAATATTAATCATATTTTTCATGCAGATAAAATTAGGCCTACTTTAAATGCTGTTTGTGTCAGTTTCCATTTTTGTGATGCTTCCTATATTTATAAAAATCCTTCGCCTCAATCAAAAGGTTCTGTAAATTCTGTATGTGAGCTGTAATGTGAAATCTAGAGTCTAAAAATCAACAGGTTGGTGTCTACAAGAGAAACCTGGCACTGGAACTGGTAATTTTAGATGTTTCCTGCTGTTATAAATCAGAAGACAGCAGCCTCAGGCTATAAGAAGATCTCACATGTGCAACCACAGGTCTTCAGAATGGGCAAACCAGATCATTTGAGGGTAGTCTAAATTAACTGTGTCAGAAAGGAATTAGTGGGAACAAATACTGAAAGTCAACTTTTCATCAAAGTGGTAATCTGAAAGTGAGCAAAAATTCACATTCACTTAGAGTGGCCTTTTTGAGTAACTGCACTATTAAATAACTAAGCAACTGAAGTGGAAAATTGTTAAGGAAACAGACTATAATCGATTTGTGCAAGCTTTATCAAAAGAAGTTAAATACTAGTGTATTTAATTGTATGAAAAATTTATATATAGGTTTGTTTTGCTAACTTACTAAATTCTCAGTGAACATGGGGAAAGAAAAGTGTGTCTCTGATACAGAGAGTAGTTATCACTCTTTATGCTGTCGGGTTTTACTGAATGTTAGAGTGTAGATATTTAACATTTAAAAAAAAATAAAGAAAAAAAAAGCAAAAGTAATGCTTAGAAATGTCATTCACTTTGCTGTGCATGTAAGAATGACTCAGATCAATGAACTTTCTCCAGAATAGTAGGTTACTCTGTATAGCATGAGGCTTGTTCAAGGATGGAATTAATGACTGGGTTGGACAGCTTAATTGAATTGCAGTGAGCAGCAGTTTCTGACTAAGACAGGTATTTTGCTTTTAATTATTTGCTCAAGAATAATATTTTCTGAAATGTTGCACTTCTTTTCTGGCAAAAGAAAAAAATCATTATATTAATCAGCCATCAACCTGTTCTATGCGAGTAATTATTCTTCTGCCTTCCCAAACAAGTTAACACAGTAGTTTAGAAATGAAATTCCTAAAAGAACAGTTCTTCATAAGTAAGTCTGCTTTTACACAAGGCAAGTAAGCATAGTCAGTCGTTTCTCTTTCTTATGGATGGCCAAGTTTTCATATTACAATAACTGCCAGCACTACAGACTTCACTAGGCAGGCGATAGCTGCCTTTTCCAGGGTCTGGGTCACTTTTGTGCATTGGTGCTCTGACAGTGACTGCTTCTCATGAGATCAAAGTACCCCCAAAAAGGTCTTGATGTTCCTGTGCCCTTTGATATGTAGAGTTCAGTGCCCTTCAGGTTTCAGTTTTTCTGTCATCCTGGTGGATTAACTTTAGCAGTTAAAAGGAAAATGTCCTCTGAGGGCTTTACCAGTAACAAACCTGTGTTTATGACATTATTCACTAAAAGGGAGACTGGAATGGGAAAGACCTCTCTCTTTAATCAATAATGCATACTCTAGTTAGTCCTTTCCTCTGGACATGATTAAACATGTATTTTGTTTCATAACTGATGATTTTGGTTGACTAGGGATTTTAACTATATATCCTCAAGCCTTTGTGACTAGCATCAGGAAGATCTAACATGAATTCCCACTCCCAAAAGGCATAAAAACCCTAACAAAATCCCAATGGGGAGAGCTGCAAATAATTCTAACCTGCAGTGAGTCAGGCCAAACTGGCACAGATCCTTTGACATGAACCGACTGCAGACAGCCTCAGGGTTTGTCTTTGCCACTACTCATTTGAAGTTTTGAGAAATATCATTGTTTCATTCATGTTAGAGATGAATAAAAAAGTGTCTGAGATGCTGAGCTGTATACTTTAAGTGTTAGATTAAGGCCTGTACTTAAATGATAAAATATTTGGCCAGTGAAGCACTTTGGCTCCTCCACCGCTCTTTGGGGGCCACGTGACATCTTTAGCAACTGTTGTCAGCTTTAGAGGAGTTGTTCTGGCCTGTTCCAGACCTCCACAAGGCAGCTGTAGGAGAACCTGAGCCCTGTTGAAGCCAGAGGAGCAGGTGATCACCCCCATCCCTGCATTCTGCATACAGAGGGGCAGACAAGGTGCCCAAACACAGATAACGTCCTTGATATCTGAGGGGGACAGTGAGTCTTGGAGCACAGAGTTAAATAAACTGAACATACCAGATAAGAAATATTTAGCCTTGGTGCCAAGAGTGTTCATCTGGTGGCTCAAGCTGACAAGAATTGCCAGCTGCTGAGGAGCAATGAATCCTAAATGAACATACAGTGGTTGTTACTAAATAGGAAACATTTGTCTTAATGTGATACTGACTGCAGCACAGTAAATGGTGATGATTTCCATGTACTGGAATGTGATGTGTTTATATTGCTGGAGTACCAGAACAAGTGCAGTTGGGTAAAATCAATGCCTTGGTTTTCATCCTGACCACTCTGCTGCAGACAGCGTTTGAAAACATCCCAGTGAATACACACAGCGTGAAGGTATGTGTGTGTGAGAGAGAAGGGAATTCAGAAATTGCCTGAGAAAGGTTTTCTGAAATATTTTTGTTTCCTCTCTTTTTCCTTCTCAGGCTCTTTTAGGATCTGATTTTATTTTTTACCTTTTGTTGAAGAAAAATGCCGTCCTTGAGCGGGAAAGTGCAGACTGTCTTGGGCCCTGTGGAGCCAGACTGCCTTGGCTATACATTGACTCACGAACACTTGACTATGAACTATAGCAGCTGTTTTTGTCCACCTTCTCCAGGCCAAGAGCCTTTGTCTGATGGGCCCATTGAGATGAAGAACTTGTTTTGGATTAAGCAAAATCCCTACAGCCATAAAGAAAACCTTCTTTTGTATCAGGAAACAGATGCTGTGAAGGAAGAGCTGTTGCATTTTAAAGCAGCAGGTGGTGGGACTATTGTGGAAAACACAACTACAGGAATTGGCCGGGATGTGAATACTTTGAAGAAACTTGCTGAAGAAACCGGAGTTCATATTATTGCTGGTGCTGGATTTTATATAGATTCCACTCATTCTTCTCAAACACAGGCCATGACAGTGGAGCAGGTAAGTCTTAACCGTTGCTTGAGTGTCCCTCTCCTGTGAATTGTCCCTGGGTAAGCCAAAGCTAGAGAGAAGTTCCAGCAAAATAGATGAAATACAGAGGTTCTCAATGTGAAAAACTTGGGAACAGCATTACTGCTTGTGTGATATTGGAAATGATATAACTTTTCTGATTTTTTTTTAATGGTCCTAATTAACCTTTTAATTAGTTGTCTTAATTAAATATAGGTTGTGTGTTAGGCCTTAAATCAATTTTAGCCAGCATATAACATAAGGCTTTCATAAGCAACTTTTGTGAGAACATAACTTGGAAAAAGTACTAAAACTAAGCTTTCTTAAAGTTAACCTTGATATCCTTCGATGAACAAAGCCCGTGAGAGAAAGATGTATTGTTGTAGCTGGACATCTGGAAACAAGGACCTTTTGCAGAAACCAGCAGATAAGTAAGAAGACTAACAAAGGCTCAGTATCTGTGTTGGAAAATCCCTACCAGAGAGAAAAGATACTAAAAAGACTAAAAGTGTGAACTAATTAGCATAAGCAACAAGAGATCAATAACCAATAGTGGATAGAATACTAGTTAATGAAAAGAAATTATGTAATTTAGAACCAACAGACATTAATTTCTTTGTTAAAAATGTATAAATAGGTGAAAAAGTGCTGTATTGGTGTCTGTACGGGGATAGGATTTTTGTTGGCCACATAGACACCCAGTGCTGCAAATAAAGAAATGCCTTGCTTTCTAACACTAAAAAGACAGTGTTAGAGGGTTCTGTTTTTCCCTATGATTTCAGAGGTATTTGGCAACAGTATAGCTGGAGCAGCACTACTTGCATGTGCTGGGGTTATCTGTCAGCATTTCCAGTTCTTAAGCTCCATTTTGTCTGAGGGATTTGTTATAATGCAACAGTAAAAGGAAAATAAAGTATTTCATGTGTGGACATCTGGCACAACGCCAATTATCCTGGGGTTTTTTACTATTTTTAAGGAAGGTGTATATCCTTGCAAGCTCTCTTGTCTTTTTTTCTGGCTAATTGTTTCCCAGTGGGTTTACCCACCATTTTTGTAAAAGGCATAAGTAATTGCAATATTTACAGGACAGTTGTAAATCATTGGTCTGCTCAGGCTGTGTGTTATATCTCTTCTCTCTGTCATTTGTTCAGGCTTTTCAGGGGAGTCTACATCAGGTTGTTTGTATGGTGTCCAAGACAATGTGTTAATAATAACTGAGGTCCCCAGATATTCCTATAATAATAAATATTCATTCATCTTTTATTAAGAAAATGTGGTGATGGGGAGAAGAGAGAACAGAACTCTCCAAGGCAGGAGGCTGTGAATGTGGATGAACAGAGATGAGAAATTTTTTAAAAATCTGTCACAGTTCACAAATGAGTCAAATTCATTTTAAAAATCAATGGTCAAAACTTGAGCAGTGCTGCCAACAAAACTGGACCCTAGCTGGCCCAACCTGTGCACAACAGTCCTGCTTTTCCTAATGGTTCTTCCATCACTTGAAATTTGATAAAAATAGTTTTCTTGAGGCAAAGGTTTCCGTTCTGTATTTGGTGGATTGATGAAGACCCACAGATGTCCTGTACTGAGCACTTAATCCAGTCCAGAAGGCAGGTCACCATCAAAGCCATTTTGTGCTCAGCTCTGAATGTGTGCTTAAGATGTGTGGCCTATTCTGGAAAAGAAAAACCGAAGCTTTTATAACAAACTACTTTTATTAAGAGATTCTGATGTCTCTTTTTGCCTAAGAATATTTTAAAAGCAAACTCATTTTGATCCTATAAATTTGTCAGATAAGCTTTGTTTCTGTGGTCCTGAAGTCAGCAGAGCACCTCTTATTTTACATCCGCATTCCCATAATCAGGATTTGCCTTAAATTTGTCTCTTTGGGATCTTTGCCAGAGTTTCTCCCTTCCCTGTCTGAATGACAAGGTTTTCTTATTCTCTGAGCCTTTGTTTTGCAAGAAATTACATTGAATTTTGTCTGGAGCCAATTCAGGAGTGTAAGGCACAGGTTTTGGAATAAACTATCATTTAAAAAAACCCCAAACTTAATCTCAGCCTAAATCAGAGTACAAATTATATGTAGACCAACGTTCTTGGCAAACCTGGGCAAACGTGCGAACAGATACTGTTAAATTAATTTGCTTCTCTCTTTATTTTGGTCTTAGTGAATGGCTGGCGTAACATTAGTTGACAGAAACCAGATTTTAACTACAGTGTTTTCACACACCCAGCTGTTAATTCAATAAGTTCAGAAAGACCTTGGGAGCATAACAGGCACGGTGTCCATAGGCCAAATTTGATGCTATTTAACACAAATAGTATTAATAACCAAAAATCTCCTTTTCCTATTCTCTAGCTGACAAACATTATTGTTGATGAGATACTCAAAGGAGCAGATGGGACTAACATCAAGTGTGGTGTGGTGGGAGAAATAGGTTGTTCCTGGCCTTTGACTCAGAGTGAACACCGTGTGCTCCAGGCAACAGCAGAGGCTCAGTCACAGCTTGGGTGCCCTGTTATCATCCATCCTGGCAGGAACAGCGACTCACCTTTCCAGATTATCCGCATTCTGCAGGAAGCTGGGGCTGATGCTTCAAAGACAGTCATGTCTCACCTGGACAGGTAAGCAGACTATTCTGCTGTCCATCCAGCAGTGTTGCCACAACTCACTGGGGTTTGTGGAACTATGCTGGAAATAGTTGACATTAAGGGTTTTCTTCAAGTTTACTGTCTTAAAAATAAATGCTTTTATAGAGCTTGGTTGGCCTCCAACGCTTCGGACAGGATCAACTTTTAGATTCCCATTGATAAAGATACTTTGGTATTTTAAATACTCTCTTTGAAAGCCTGGGAGAGAGATTAGGAATAACTGTAACTGCATTTTAAAAATAGGAATTCCATTAATTTGTATCCCTGCACAAATCCCTGTATTTACAAAGCATTGGACACTGAGCAGCTCTCTCAAATTGGGTGGGAAGTTGCTTGCCTTCCAGCGTTTTTGAAAACTGGATCGCTCTTAAAGACCTTACCAAAATCTCACAGAAGCTAATGGAAAACTTGATTTTGCTGGATTCTAGATCAAAGCAGAAGGCAGATTTTTAATGTTCTGCTTCCAGACAGAAGAAATATTGCTTAAAAAAAGTATAGTTGGGTTTTGAATAGTTCATAGCATAGCCTGGGTAGCTAACTTATAGCTTTCTTGAGAACAAAACCCAGGAGCTCCACATCAGATATGGAGAGAAATTGGGATACTTTTTTATCTCCAGCTTAGAAATACAGCCTCTGTTACCAAATCAGTTTTGTATGACCTTGTGTTGCTCCTGGTGAGCTGGAATATGTCCAAGCATTGATTAGTTTGGCCAGTTGCTGAATAATGGAGACTGTTTGTGGTCATATGATTCTCAGCAATTGGATTATTTGCCCTCAATGTGAGTGCAGTATAGGCAACAGCACTGTGCTCCAAATTTCTGATGGTTGTAGGCTCTAAGAGGTAGCAATTGAGCTACAGGTGTTTTGTATGCAAAGCTCCTTGTTTTACTTGGGGATTTTAGGAGGATAAAATCCAGTGCCATGAAATTCTATTCATTTATTATAAATGATACGAACTTCCTTTATGTATTGACCTGCATTCCATTGTATCTATGGCTGTATTTTCCTCCCCTTTTTAAAGAAAAACTGATCACTTAAATCTTCTAATGAAAGAGAACTGGGAAGGCTGCAGATATTAGTGGTTATATAGCCATTTTGATAAAGCATAAATATACAGTTGTGGGGTTTTGCCTTTATACATTGTTGTAAATTGTTGAATTAAGTATTTTAAGAATTAAGTAATTTATTGATGGAAGTTAAGCAGTATAAGCAGGAAAATAGTTAAGACAGTGGTGCAGTTTCACTTACAGCCGCTGATGCACAATATGACATTTCCTTATTTCTCTTTCTATCATTACTTTCACACATTCGGGTTGGCACTTGCTATAAGATAAACTACTGTGAAGTTTGGCTTTGCAATGTGCATTTAACATTTTAAGTCTCTTCCAGTGAGAAAAATCCATGTGGGAGCATCCCAGTCCTTTAAATGTGAGATAAATTTGTACATAGCTCCATGTTTCTTGTCTGCATTTGACACAGACAGAATGGTAGTTTGCAAGTCGATTTACAACGAAATGATAAAACTAAAATGCTCGCTACCGTGTTTTTGTTGTTTTGCAGTTTAGCATCCTAGAACAAAAGGTAGCAAGTGTCCATAGTGGAATATGTGTCCATATGGTACAGTTAAAGGCTGGGAAGCAAAACTATTTAGCCTTGGCTTTGGCCATTTGTTAGGGGTTGAGGTTAAAAAGGTATCTTGGTAGAGATCAACATTCATTCACTTTTAGCTTTTGTTAGAAGGCTCAGAGCAACTGCTCTGCATGTGGGCTTCATAATGGTTTAGTGGCTGTCCCCATGAGGATTTACAGATGAGGCCCAAACTACAGAATGGTCCTTTTCCATGAGCTCAGGGCAGCTCAGGTACAGCGTTGCCCAAACATCCAATTCCAGCACAGAGATCTGCAATCTGAGCTGGGCACTGCTGCTGTTGCTACATCCCCATGACTCACAATGCGACCCAGGGGCTGATAAAATTAAGCTCTCCAGCTCCTCGTTGGGACAGAGCACCAGAAGCACGACACTAACAATAGTCTTAAAAAGAAATTATTGGGCTGTGATTTTGAAATATATTGTTGGGTGTTTTTGCTATGTGCACCAGGACTGAATATTCTTGGCGACTGTCTGCCCATGAACCAAGCAGAGCTGGATCTAAAATAACCTGTTCTCTTGCTCTGCACTTGAAAAACTCATTTGGTAATAAATGTTCAGTCTCTGTAAACTGTAACATTTATTTTAAAATAACATTTTTTATTAATTACAGTTGGCAAGTCTTAGACTCCTGCTGATGGCAGGCTTGTTTGAACAGGGGTTTGTCTCTCTCAACCCATCTGTTCCTCCTACTTGGTCCTGTTGTTAAGTCATAATATTGAAAGTGTGACATCAGTCATTTCCATAGCAACAGACTGTGATGTAACTGTGAAAGGTAAAACTGCTTTGTGACATCAATATCTGCAATAATAAAAAAATTGAACTACTTCCCTTTTGGTTAACTGTGATGCTCTTGTGGGAACTTGGTTTCTAATTAGATGAAAAAAATTGTGTTGTGGCTATAAAGATTAAATTGTATCATTTGAATGTTTTTGTTTTCCTTTGGACAGCTTATACTCTTGGTAAAAATGGTTCAGAGGAAACCCAGAATATTCCAGAGAGCTCTTATTTCTGTTGCTGTCCTTTTCCAAATGAGTGATATGTGTTGGAAGCTTTGTTCCTTCAGTTTTCAAATCTGCTGTAAAGCCCATGTCCCAGGTACACACAGTGCCATTATATATTTTGGTGAGAGCATTTCCTTAAGGCGTTCTGGCCAGATCCCAGTGCAAACAATGATATATTGCTGTTCTAATGGCAATCTAGAAACATCACTGTACAGAATAGAAACGAAAGACAAAGTTGTGTAATATGGGTGTGTGATGGATGAAACAAGCCCTGGATGGAGCTGTCTTCTGTAACCCTTTTGGGAAAGTAAATCTGCCTTGTCTAAGCAATCCATTGTCTTTCTTTTTTTTTAAGTGTCACTATGAATTAACCTCCTCCTTAAATGTCTTTCCTGGTCAGGTTGTCTGTTGAGAGGGTTAATGATATCAAAAGTAAGTAACTTTCCTGTTTCCATTTAAAGATGATCATAGATGTTTTCATTGTTTCATGGGGAAAGAGTTGGGGTTTTTTTTTGTGTTTTTTTAAAATGCATGAAATCCCAAATGAATGTGAGAATGACGATGCTGTGTATCAGCTTAAGTTGCATGTGTCAAACAGGAGTCCTGTTTTTCAGAAAGGTGAATTAAATCTTGGATTATTGGTTTCTTTATCCTTGCAAGTAGGAGGTCACAAAATTCCTGTCCTCATGCCATGAGATATTTTATTCCTGTTTTACAGTGCTGACTCTGTGTTATGTATGTTCTGCAGGACCATATTTGATACAAGGAAACTTCTGGAATTTGCTAAACTTGGATGCTATTTAGAGTATGATCTATTTGGTACAGAATTTCTTCACTACCAGTTCCATCCCGATATTGACATGCCGAACGACAATGAAAGAATTGCAAGGTATCTGTTCCCATTCAGTTCAAGCTATAGCATGGCCATTGACAAAAACCTTTTATTGGTACTTGTTTTAGGACCATCACACGGTGATTCTGCTTGCTGTTCAAAATTGTCTTCTTTCATACTAAAATAATGCTATTTCCCTCACTGCAGTCACACCCTTAGAGCAGCTTGTGTCATTTCTTCTATTTGCAAAGGAAGAGGCAGAATCATAGTGTTGTACAAAGTTACTTGAGAAGAACATCAAAAACTTTTTTAACTTCATTCTCCATCCTAATTCCTTGCTGATCTGGTTGAATTTTATAATTTACCACATTTATACAATCTGTTTAAAAAAAAAAAAAAGGCTGGAGATACTGGATTTATGTTAGGATTTGACTTTTATTTGAAATAGCATTGGAAACCTGCTAAGCATCATCTGATCCTGTTACATCTCCTCAGTAGTGTGCTAACCCAGCAAAACTTGCTGGTTGTTTTGGGTGGATTTGATCTTGTGCTTCTCTCCTGAAAAGGTCCCTTTTTTCTTCCCAGCACTTTGTCACCTTTCCACCCCCTTTCCTTTTGCCCTTTCTCTCTTTTGAAGGATGCAATTCCTGTCTCCTCAGAGCTCTCATGCTCCTCACACTCACTCACAATGTGAAAATACTGGCCCCACTGGCAGGATACCTCTTCCCTGCTTCTCATCAGCACCTGCAGCGTCAGCTCAGATGCACAGCAAATCTGTTGTGCTGTGCTAACACAAGGTATTGCCAAAGAGGTGCATTCTGTGCAGAAACTGTCTGAGAGAAGGTAGGATCAGCTGGGAATGGCCATCTCACTCTTTCCACTCTGTCTGGAGGTGTGATCCTTCTGTGCTGTTTGTCCACAGTGTTTGTGAGCAGTGAAGTGGCAGGTTTCTGAGGGGCGAGGTGCCATCCTGCCTGTGTCTTTTTACCTTCTAGAATCAAAAATGGTTATTAAGTTCTCCTTGATGAGGAAGATTTTATGATCTCTGATCACTAATGAAGTAAATTCTAGCTTCCACTTACGTTTCAGACACAGCTTTTCTCCCCCTCATTGTCAGATGAACCTTGAAATTAATCTCTATTTTCAAACTGTTCCCTCCTAAGAAGGTGCCGTGGTTACCCTTCCACTCACTGCCAAGCATTTGCTACTGCTTTTCACACTAGGAATAGTTTCTCTCTCTTAACAGTGCTCTCAGTCTGGCACTCAGTATTTTAAACTGTTGCAATGAATCTGCAGTTTTCACATTTGGAATGGATAAAGTTGCTCCCTCTCCTGTGCTTCCTTCCCTCTCCTGTGCCACGGAAGGTCAGCTTCTACGGAAGCACTGCGGAATACATATAGAGAACTGGTCTATGCCTTGGTTAACAAGTGCTTGTTCAACCGTGGCAGAGTTTTCATTCCATCCATGATACTTGCTCAGCCACTGATGTCTCTCCCTAAACTCCCTGGCATTTGAGTATTTTTTGCAGCAGGCTGTTCATAGGAAGAAGTGACGAAAGGTTTGTCTTCTCACTGTACGGTGTAAATATGTACATTTGAGTTAGAAGTGCCCCTAAATGGATATTGATGCACCCACAATGGACTTGAGGTGGCAGTGGCAATCTCCTTAGGGTTTTGTTTTGTGAAACAGCTCCAGAGAGGTAGAAATAAAATTGATCTCTATATGAAAATACTTAAGGGAAAAATCTCTTTCAGGCCTTTTCTGTTCAAAACATAAACTTCTGTAGTCATAATGGACCTACTCCACACAGTTTGGCCATCTGTGTACTTCAGCAGTTTGGCTGCAATCTACTGCTAATGCAAGTAAAACACTGATTTTTGTTCAGGGACAGTTTTAATTTGCGTCAGAAGAAAGTACTAACTAAAATTACAAGAACAAGGAAAAAGAAGCGATGAATATGAAATGGAAAGGACCATATGCCTCCCCAACCTGAGAAATTAGTCCAAATATGAAAGGACGATGATTCTAAATGATGTTTGGTCAGCAAACAGCTTAGTTCCCCTAGTGCCATTGCTCTTACTCTGCTGAGAATTGGAACAGGCTGCCCTGGGAAGTGGTCACAGCACCAAGCCTGTCTGAGTTCAAGAAGCGTTTCGCTCTCAGGCACATGGTGTGATTCTTGGAGTGTCCTTCAAAGGACCAGGAGTTGGACTCAATGATCCTGATGGGTCCCTTCCAACTCATCATATTCTATTCTATAGTCTCTCTGTATTTCATGCTGGAGTACATACTTGTGATGTTGTAACGCTGTGGTATACATTGTGTTGTGCACTCTATGGCACTATTTATGGTGTTTTTTTCTGAAAGATGATAATTTAGCAAATTCTATCCTATGTGCCTTCTTCCTGCTGCCCATATTGATTAGATTCTGCTACATGTACCTCCTCATAACTAATTGCAATAAAAACTGACAGTAAGGGCTTTCAGATACAGTGTAGTTACTTATAAAACTAGTATTTGTTTTCTTGTTGATCAAAGCACAGTCAGGAAGGTAAGAATCAGAATTTCACAGTGCTGGCAAATGACTGAATTGGAGGCCTACATGAGGAACAAGTACTTTCCAGGTCTGGTCTGTCTGTCTCTGCCACTTCAATGCAGGAATGTACTGCCAAACTAAACTGAAGCTTACTGGGAAGCTTAACAGTCGTGCAGTACAAGTGTTCAGACTCACCTAATACATTCTAAAAAATTAGCTGATCAGGGGATTAAGGCTACCTGAGTGAAACGTGAAGCAGAAGGACTTGTAGCTGTCCTGATACAAGGGAGTGACCAGACGGATTATTTCTTTTTCCAAGCCGACTTGTCATTTTGCCAAGCCTGTTCAGCTGGGTTGCCATATTCACTCTTATTTCCTGGCACATGCCAGCACTGTGCCATGCCAGTCTTATTTATATTCCTCCTTAATGAACATCTTTGAAATGTGTTTGGATGATAACTGTCTATATGGAACGTGATGGTGGCAACTTCATATTTTTATTAACCTGGTTTGCTAAAGGGCATTTTAACTGAAGATGTGGAAGTATTTGTGCAGTTGAACCAGGCTTCTTAAAGAGAGTCTTAAACAGAGTCTGGTCATTAGCAAATGTAATAGGATCAGCTTTGTGACAGCAGCAAGAAGTAACCTGCTGAGAAGGAGTTTAGGTAGGAAGTTTTTACTTACTTATGTATATAAAACCTGTGTCCCACGCGTGGTGATGCTGAAGCTCTTGAATTCCTCTGTGAACTTCATGGGACTGGGAATGCAAAGCCATGTGTCAAATCAAAGGAGTTTTCCCTCTCCATTTTGAGATGTGTGGTGTTATGTTTTCAGAGGTGAGTTTTTTTCATGCAATAAAAAATGTGTTTTAATTTCAAGTGAATATAAGGAGTATGTTTTCTGAGCACCTAAAATAAGTATTTTCTGCTATAATAGGGTCCAGCAGTACGTAATATAAGAAATGTAAATCCTGGTTGGTTCTGTGATGTTGCAGAGTGAGAACTTTCACTGACAGGTGTGCTTTTAATTTTTCAGGATTCGTACACTGATTGATGAAGGCTATGAAGACAGAATTCTGATGGCTCATGATGTGCACACCAAGAACAGGTTGATGAAATATGGAGGTCATGGATATTCACATATCTTTGAAAATATAGTTCCTAAAATGCTAATTAGAGGCATATCCCAAGATAAAATTGATAAAATACTCCTAGCAAATCCAAAGCGGTGGTTGACTTTTAAGTAGGAATAATGAATAATTATTCCTGTTCTATAGGGAAGCTTGATAAAATTCAAATTTCTTTCCAGAGAGCAGTAATTTTAAAATTTGGTTCTTTTCAGAGAAACTGAAATTATTAAGGAGATGCAAATTATTAAGGAGAAATTATTAAGGAGATGCAAACGAACTGATTATAAATTTTCTTTTTAATTAGAACATCAAAATTAAGTACTGTCTCTGCATCTCTTCCCTTCTGGAAGCTTGTTCATGAGTGATTTACTGAATATGAGCCTACCTGCAAAATCTTTTCAATAGAAATTTGAAAATAATTGTTTCAAGAGCATAATCTAATACTATTATTGAATGTTACCCCAAACGACTTTTGAAGATGCATCGCCTGGACTTTGAAAGAAATTATGGTTTTCAGTTAAATTTCCTGTCTCCAGGGGCTGATTTTAATCTTTGTAATACTGACAATCTTCTCATTACCCTTGTATTCTTTACGTAAGGCTTGATGAAAGGTCTGGAACTTTTAAACAGTTTTTGTAGACAACACAAGGCAAAAGAAATCTCAAATAAATCTAAGAAGATAATGTTTCTTTATAGTTTAACAATTTACTTAATTTTAACTGAAAGTGTAAAAAATACATGGAAAAATATATTTTTGAATAAAGCAATTTGATGATCTCTTAAACTATGTGCAGTATTATTACAGATGTCTTTTTTTAATCACATTTTTTTTTGTCATGAACTTTTGGAATCTTACAGTGATCGTGTAAAACTTGACACAGACCAACTTCTTTTTGTAAAGATGCAACACCAGAAGTCAAAATATATTACATAATACAGTTTTAATGAGTTGTAATAGTTATAACAAAGGTTGTGATATAAGTCTTTACAAATCAGTATATCAAGATATGATGAAAAAGGAAGAAATGTTTGCCTTATATGTGGTTTTTACATAAAGTGTGTTCTTTGCTCTTGTCTAACTTTAACCAGGGTAGGTGATCTATCCAAAAAATGGTCTTATCCAGTAGCAGTGGGAACCTGATTTCAAAAACTTCTTCAAATTTGACCGTGTACATCTTGTAGTGTTGAGCCTTTCCAATACACACCTTAGTAAATATGCGCTACTGGTTGTAAATGATCTCTAGCTTGGTGCATCAGTGTGTGACACTATGCAGAGGATCTCTAGCTACACTGCTGTGTGAGTGCACTGACCAGTGAAACAACAGTGGAGCAAACAGATGAAGTTCAGTTACACATCTGTTATTAAAATAATTGCCTCGTAGAAATAAAACAGGAGTAATCACTAGAATGTGCAGATACAGGCTGGCACTTTGTCGTAAAGTAAAAGCATTAACCATTCTGGTGGGATAATACACAAGCAGCTGGCAGCACTATGTCCCCTTATAAACCCTACATGAGTTTGCCTGGTGATCTTCTCTGTCAGCCGAGACTCACTCGGATTTGTTTTGAATTGGACGACTCAAAACAGAAACAAAGAGTAACACGTTCTGTTTAAGAGAAGCGTCACTCATTCTACTGAGATCTTTAGAGAGATGTGTAAAATCTTTATCAGACTTTTGCTGAGCACCCAGCACTGGAGGGCTTTTTTGTCACAGTGACAGACACTTCAGACGTTTTAGTGCAGATAAATCTGAGTTTGTACCCTTAGTACATTAGACAAGGTTGCTCGTAGCAAAGTACGTGAAATAGCAGTGCTAGGGGTAGCCTTTATTACACTTTAATGATTTACAGAAATGTTGCCTTGATTTTGCCAAAATGTTGAAAATAAATAACATAACCAACTGTGCTAAAGAATTATTCAGTAATCTTGCTAAAATTTAGGTTTATAATGAAATCTGCAAGTTTTAACCTGAGAGAAACAGCCTCCCAAAACCAAAACAAATAATAAATCAATTTTCTGAATAAAAATATTCTGTGGACGTTACTGGTATGACTGATTTTAAAGCATTTTTATAACTATGAAACTCATAATATCTGTGTTTAGTTTAGTTCTCCAAACCATTAATCCTCTATATGGATTAAACCTCTTTTAGATTTTATATATCTATATCTATACATATATGAATGAGAAAAATAGGTTTTAATACACACTTTTTCTTTTTTTTTTTGCATGTAAATATCTGCTTCTTTCTTTGCATATGTGTTATCATTTTTGGTAATATGCTCATCTGTGTCCATCTCATAGGCACACCTTACTACAAACTGGTAACTAGCTTCCATGGAAAAGGTCTGTGTGATAGCATTTTCTTATGTGTCAGATTCCCCCACTCCATTGTGGGAAGAATCCCACTAACTTCAGTGAGATGAGACACCTAAGACAATTAAGGTTTTGACCCATTATATTCCTACGAAATTCTAGTGGAACATCTGCAGTCTATTAATCCATAACTACTTTATTAAAAATAGTACCCAAGTGCAGACTAAGTGCTAAAAGACTAATGAAGACTAATTGCTGCAAAGAAAACACTCTACCTTAGTGTGATGATGTGGATGACAGGCTTTCCAAATATTTACACAACTAACCATCAAGAATGGGCCTGTAATAATTGTCTAAATATATATTTACACGTATACAAATTAAAAAAGCCAAATCCCTTTTCCACTAATAGCAATGGGAGTTTCGCCATTGGCTTCGGTGGAATCAGGGATTTGATCCAATAGAATAGTTTGTCAACTATTACATTTTTTCAGGGGAAAATAAAGTGTTTCTTCTATCCTTCTTTTTCTTTTAGAACACAGCTAAGGGAAGGACAAAATTTAAACAACTCCACTGGACTAATTTTATGTTAAAAGTCTAATGTAAACCTACAAAGCAGGAACATTGAGTTAAGGCTTGAAGATGATTAGTTTCTAGTTTTAAGGGGAAGGGTAAGAAAAGTACAAGGCAAACAATTTCTTTGCAGAGAGAAAGTATATTTTGATTACCTCTTCCTTTTATTGTAAAATCATTCCTCACCACACTATCAGTGGACTCCAAGCGTCATTGTTAGCAAGTAAGTCACAAGAACCAAAGCTGAAGTATGGATAAAGCAGCAAGATCATAACACATCAAAGTATCATATACACTGAAGAAATAACTCAGCGTCCTTAGGTGGGCTTTTTTCCTATAAAAATTTGATCTATGTAGAACTTCATTCACATGGACACTAACAATGAGGAAGTATTTGCTTTGGCGGTAGTGGATCGCACATCTGTTGAACTCGTTTTGTTGTTTTCAAACACAAGGTTTCTCTGTGTTGTACAGATGTGAATCAGGTAGCATTTGACTTTTTTCCCCCGCTACTGAGGTGTTTGGTGGTCCCTCTCTGCTGGGGTACTTGTTTGATTGACTTTTGCCACGCAAGTCCATCACTTAGAAGAGCAGGCTTCATTTTTGGACTGGTTTGGTGGGTCTTTTTATACATTATCAGTCAGCATAAATAATAAATCCAGAAAATGTGCTGTATTTGTTGTTGTTTCCTCCATGTGCTTTTCCTCCATCTAATTTAATGTAAACTTCATCTCCTGGCTCCAAGTGAAGCACCACGCTGTTACTGGCATAGTCGTAGTTCTGATCAGCATCCTGAGCAATCGCACTAGCTCGAACCTACATAAAATACATAATGAGCAGTTAAGAAAACTCAGATGATTTTTCTTGCATTGTGAACTTAAAACATATCCTCAACATTCTATTCACCATTGCCACTTTAAACATCTGGCAACGTATATTTTAGGTTTTCTCCTATGGTTATTTCTTATTTTCTCCTACTACACAACATCTGAAACTAAAGCAATAACACACTCCTTTCTCAGTCATCTGATGAATACACAACTGCTTGATATCCTGTAAATGTCTGGAGCCTTTTTAAATATACATGTAAGAATAACTGGAGTTGGGAGAACCGGATATGGTCAGGTGCTAGTTTTACGTTGGTGTAACTTTTATTTCAGGGGGACAAGGGATTGACAATGGTGAGGATCCACAGGGAGCTCCCCTTTTTCCAGAGGCAGTTTATTGTCATACCACTAATAGGATCATGCTGCAGAAAAGAATACAAGAAATACACACCCAGCCACACACATGAACACAAGCAGGTTAGGATCCTAGTCTGGGTTTGGAAAAACTGCTTTTGCCACATTTCAGTAAGCAAAAATTTAATTTCGCTATGTTTTAAGAGACGCAGATTTGTAAAAATCACAGGGAAGTTGCTATTTGCTTTAAGACATTTTTTGGAATTTACATGTTATTGAGGATTTTTAATTTGTAACTTTCCCTTAAACATACTTTTTTCACATTTCTCCCTTGCTATTCCGCTACTGATTAAATTTGACATTTCTTGCAAACTGGAAGTAATCTGTAGTTTCAAGATATATGCTGGTTTCCAGCAATGAACAGTCTATGCCACTGTAAGTCTCCAAAGCATTTATATATAATTTGACTGTGTTTGGTAAAATATTTAAACATGGTTGTATGTGATTTATTTCAGTGTAACACATCATTTGCTTGTTGCTTGTCTTTGTTCTAGTGTAGTTACAGAGCAGTAAATGATTTAGTGGCATTGCAAAGCTGAACTAAGTAATAATGCATGACTTGGCGTACTCTATGTGGGATTTTATCTGTTCTGAATTGAAAAAATAGGCTATAAGTCACAATTTTCCATGGATTCCTTTCAAAGTTTACATGATAAATTTCCAAATTAAATTTTCATGTGACATGATTTCACATTAATATTGAAATGTTATAAAGGAGGGGGTTCTTCTACCATGCAGGATCTTATGGCATTATGCAGCTTAAAAATCACAGTAGGTGGAAATTCTTTATGCATCCTGTAAGAAGAGTGAGAAAGGCTGCAAAGGCTTGCAGTGCTGTCACAGGCTGCAAATTTAAACTGATACATGGCATAATGATAAACCCCGACTATTTCAGGACTTCTTGATTCTGACTTGCCTGGTATTGTTTACCATTATTGATCTATTTTGCTACTGTTTAAGCAATAATTATTCTAAGCACTGGATGTTTCCTCTGGATTAATGATGGGCAGGGTGGAGTTGAAGGCTCTCTGGGTCATTAACCCTGGAAATACCTTCTAGAGAAAATAAGGGACTGAGATGGCTGCTGGCAGTGTAAATGGAAAGGGCAAATGGGGAGGAGTGAAAAGACTATACATGAGCTAGAAAAACTTCCATACAGAACTAGTGTCTTGCATACGGGCAAGCAGATGGCTTTAATATACTTTTCCAATTCCCATTTACATTCTAATGAAATGCTACTTTGTGGATTTGTACAAAATCTTGTGTTTCTGTGGATAGTAAAGGAGAATGCAAATTATATTAGCGATTATCCTAAAGGAGTCAGCATGCACTAACTGCAACAGCAATGGATATTTCATTTTTAAGATTCTACATAGTATATACTGGCTGAAAAAAAAATATTTTGGGTGTTGAATGTCTAGAAACCAAAGTGCAGCTCTTACTACCCTGTGTATAGCAGCGAAGGTCCCAAAGACTCCAGTATACTATTCCTAGGGGTTTTACCTCCTTGCTTGGTTAGCCAGAGCAATTTCTTTTTAAAGCCTAGGAGAACAGTCTCAAATGAATTCTCAGTGAGTGTACTGCTGCAAGACAGTAACTCAAAATTAAACCATCAAGGGACAATATATTTCACAAGTTCCATGCAAGTTCTTTCATGAAGCTCTGCTCTCTGGCTGCACACACATATTTGCTGAGTGATCTCAGCACTTTCCTGTTCAAGCTTGATAACCATTAAAGTAGCATTAACACCGAGGACCTTGAGGTTCCACATATGTATTGCTTAGGAGTGATTTTTGATATACACATTCCAGTGGTTTGGCTTTTTTCATTGTTAGAAAACACTGAATTTGTAATGTTACCTTTGTCACTCCACAACTTCCAAAATTTCTGATCTTTCTTACAAATAATACACAAAGTTAACCGCTGTCACATCAGCATTTAGTGTTTCAGGTATAAATCATAATCACTGATGGATTAAAACTGTGGGTCCATTTTAAACAGTTTATATGTAGTTTATATTACCTAAATACTTGTCTCGCACAGGTATATACAAATATATACACAGAACCTCTGGCCTTTTTTTTTTCTTCTTTGAATAACTACGAGTTTATTTTGTCTGTCTGGTAATGGAAGTAGCTATATTTGGGAATGGTTAGACTTTAGGATCAATTTCATATTTATAATTGGGTACTTCTTTAAAAATACTGCTATTTATATATTCAGGATTTGTGAAAATAAACACTTTAAAACATTATAAGTAGAGGTAAAAAATAGAGTAATGCTTTATTTGCAAGTAAAATGGTATTCTCTTAGTAGACAAGATTGCCCTTTGTATGGAGATATCGAAATGAATGTATTGCGACATACTTTGCTTTACTAGTGCTGGTTTATCTGCTGAGACGGTATTTACGGTAGGTATTTTCTAACTTAATTAATTGCCGCTGATGTCCTCATTATTCTGTTT